AAGACATCAACAGGTGTTCTACAAGTTTGCACAGTACTAAGTTTTTTCAGTGAGTGATAAACTCTGGGCTTGTCGGCAGATAGCGTATGAGAACTATCTCTAAACGACAAGTGCCATGCTGCCGTAAGTAATAAACTCTGAGCTTGTTGGCAGGTAGCGTATGAGAACTACCTCTAAACGACAAGTGTGGTTCTTCTTACACCCTTTTCCCACGTCTTACTTTTTTTTTGCAGTACATTACTGTTTTTTAGTCAAAAGGTTTTTCAGAAAAATATGGTCCAGATGATCGTCAGAAAGAGTTGTGTCTTATAGTGATTATTTTCGTTTTTATTGTTGTCTTCAATGTTCTATTGTATTCTTTTTTGTTCAACTTTTCTTATTTTTTTAATTACTTCTAAACTTTCTGCCATTTTTCGTATTTCTTTATTTTGTTCTTTAGTTGATATATTTTCTTTTAGTTCTTTTTCTTCATTGTCTAAGGTGACTATTTTATTTTCAATTTCTGTTAAATATTCTAAACAATATTCATTTGGTAGTCTCTATTTTTATTTTGTACTTCTAATATCAGTATTAAGCATGCTTTGCAAAGGTTATAAGCTTAAATTTTTATTTATTCCTGGTAGTCTTCTAGCGTTTCTTTTTCTTTTATATTCAGGTTTAGAGAGTTGTTTAGTGCTTCATTCAGATCTTTTTGGTCCATCAATGATTCTAATTTATCATAATAGTCTGTTTCTGCTACTCCATTTTGATAGTATTAATAGTAGTTCATTATATCAACTGTTTGTTTGTCAATTATAATTTTGAAATTTGGATTATTGTAGTTCCATTGGTCTGTTTTTGATATATATTTGTATATTCTTCTAATTTTTGATTAATTGATATAATAATGGATATTTGTTTGATTTTGTGAATAGTTATGAATTTTCTTCATTATTTTTCTATTGTTTGTAATTAGTTCTTCTAACTGATAAATAAGATTTATGAACTTTTCTTCTTTATTACAAAAGAATCATGTTTGCCAACTTTCAAGTTTTCTTCTAAGTCCTTGTTTTTTGTACAAATAGCAGTTTACAAGTCTTCTTTAGCCTATTGTATTATAGTACTTCTGAGCTTGTTCATTTCTAATATCTAATTCTTCTAAGTATTCTCAATAATATTTATTGCAGTTCATTTGTTCTAGTAAGAATACTGGTTCAAAATTTCTTGGTGATTTGTATAATCCTTGTATGTAGTGTAAATTTGTTGATGCTATAGGTCTTTTGCAATTGCAGCAATAGTGGTAATCTCAGCTTTTGAATATGAAGCCTATTCTGTATAGTTTTGTCTTTTTAATAAAACATTATCTGCATTACTCCACATAATAAACTTCTATTTTCTTTTAATTCTCTATATAATTTGTAGTTTTTATTTCTATAGTTTTTTTCACAAAATTTGCATATAATCATTTTTTTCAATAGTTCTAGTTGGTATTTCCAGTTTTGGTTATCAAGATTTTCATTTCATTCCCAATTTTGGGTTTCTTTTATTCTGTTTGGGTCACTGTAAAATCTTCTCAGATTATAGTTTGATTGGTTTAGTTTGTGTTTGTTTGGACAATCTTTTGATTGGTATTCTTTTTGGTTATATATAAAACATTTCTGGTCAGGACAGTATCTATTTGTATGTTTTTTTTGTTTACAGATTCCACAGGTATATTCTTTGGTACTTTGTCTTTATTGAATTTTTTCTCTTTTCTTTGTTGAAGTCATTTTTGATATACTCATTAATTGCTTTTGTTATCCTATCGACAATTGGTGTTATTTGGTCAGGTTCTAACTGTTCTTGTATCATTTTGTCAGGTAATTTAAGGTTGTTAAATTTTCTTTGAAATTCTTCTTTAGAAATTTCTTTAAATTCTTGCTATGTTTTCTAACTTGTTCCAAGCTTGCTTCTTCAATTTCTTTATCTATGTAGTGAAATCGTATAAGGTGTTTTTCAGGGTTCTCAATATACTTATCACATTTTTCACAATAATTTGCTTTATCTTCTTCATTTTCTAGTCTTATCGCAATTTGTACTTTCTTTAATTCTTGTCTGCTCATTTCTGTTTAATATATTGTTAAAAATATTGCTTGGTCTTCTATTGGTTAACAATTATAATTTTCTATTTCTTCAATACATTCTTCACACCATTGGCAGTAGTTAGGTCCACTATATTCTTTTTGGTTATTTATTTTAGCTTTTTTTCGATTCTTGCTTTCAGTTGTTTATATGCTATAGAGGTTCTTTTACACAAGTTTTTAATTTTTTTAATTAGTCTTTTTTTTTTCTTCAGTATATGTTGGGGCTAGTGATTGTATTTTTTGTTATTCTATTGGTTTAATTATTTTTTTTACTGTTCTAAAAAGTATTGAATAGTTATTTTTATTTTCTCTAAAGTTTTCTTCAATTAGTTTTTTTTTAATTCGGCAGTCTTGCCTTAACTGTTTATTAGTACTCTAAGGTATTGTGGTTACAAATATACATACATATATTTACAACTATCTAATTATTTACAGATAAGACTCACTCGGTTACCAACTTAGTACCTATGTGTAACCTGCTATATGATATTTTACCTCCTTAGTAACCGCCCTGCAATTAGACCAATTACTAAATCACCAGATAGTTCCCAAACCTATATTTATCATATATATCCTGCTTATATACTACTGTACAACATCTACCCTCAGTACTTATCACATTACTCCTAATTCGTTTCTTGTACCACTTCCAAATTGGTGTCTTTCAAGTGAGTGCTCTTGGTGCTTCCAGTTTGGTATCTCTGGGGAGCTACTTTAAGGACCTAATCCGTATTTCAAGCCAGGTGCTGCCAGGTCATAAGACTCATATCTCAAGCCACCTGCTGCCATACTAGGGTGTTATTTCACGTTGATCCAGGTATTCACATCATATACCACCAAATTAGGCTACCAATCCTTCTATAGTATTCCTTATTGGTATAGTAATACAGGGTCTGGATCCCTAAAATGGGAGTTAAGTACCTTATTTAATTACTGTTACAATCCAGTAACCCGGGACCTGTGTCTTTGCCATGTTTTATCATAGACTCTCATATAGATTGTATGACTATTCCTCCCTAGCCTGTCTTTATTTTTGTACCACCGGATCACCTGCTTCCATACTTTCAGGATTTCTTTTAGCCAGTATTCCTTGTTTCCTTGCGCCAGAGGTGTTCTATATTTGGTAAAGCCATTCTCTTACGACAGCTCCTTACTATGTTTACTGCTTCTCTCACCACTTCTAGATATACCACATACAGCTGTTCTCCCAATCAAGATCCCAATGCCGTCTTAGGGTTGTTGGTGCTACCTTGCCAATCATGGATTCACACGCACAGCCTTTTGCAGTAATACCTTCTGTAACCCATGTCACACATAGTGCCCAGTCTTCTCCATGGCTTAGGGCTCCTTTCAAAAATTCTTTATCAGCCAAATATATACTCACATAGTCTTACTGCTACAGAGTTTTGCATTTGAAAGCTCCCGATAGTTACAGAGATAATTAATTAATTAATGATTCACCAATCACCTAAAGAATAATCATAGTAAAATGTGACTCAAATTACTATATAAATTTACTATAGTGTAAATCTGGCAATTGTCCAAGGTAAACTTTTGACGTTCTAACTACCATTAGATGTGTTTTGACAAGCTTTACAAAAGTCTCTTAAGCAAAAAAAGTGATTAACTAGTATAAAAAAAAGTTTACCTTGGGCAATTGCCAGATTTGCACTATAGTAAATTTATATAGTAATTTGAGTCACATTTTACTATAATTATTTTTCAGGTGACTAGTGGATTATCAATTAAATTAATTACCACCAGCTGTAATCGAACTGTTGACCTCATCTGTGGAGGGTTAGGCACCCAGACTACTAGACTACAAGACCCTAACACAGTTTTCTTCAATTAGTTTATTTAGCTCTTTTATTACTTGGTTATATAAATTTCTTAGAGCTCTTTCTGGTTTATTATCTTCACAAATATGTTTTAGTTTACCATTGTATTCCCAACCTAAATTGCAGTAAAGACAATAATATTCTGCATTTTTGTAGAGTATTCCTTTGAAGTAATTTAAAATTGTATCTTGTTGGTTATTGAATATTATTTTATTTATGTATCTTGCTATTTTTTTCTTTTGTTTGTTGAAGATTAGTTTATCTGATTTTATACTATTTATTCCTTTTATAATTTCTGTTTTCTTTTCTCTATTAATTAATGGTTTGTTTTCTAGTTCTTTAATTATTTTGTCAATTAATATTTCAAGTTTGCTTTTAGTTATTTTAGCAGTTGTGGTTATTTAATTCAGGTTAAGAGTATATCTTTGTCTAGAGTTTCTTTTATTTGCCTGAGTTGTTCTTGGTTATTAATGTTTTCTTGATATAAGATTTCTAGTTTTTTCTCATAATATTTTTCATTGATTTTTAATATTTTTAGATTCAGTTCTTCTTTGATAACTCTTGTATTATTTTCTTCTAAATGTTTGGAGTTATTAAAATATGATTGTTTAAAATGTTGTTTCAGGTCTGAGTCAGTTTGTAGTTGTTTTAATATTAATTGTTCTATTCAATGTCAATGTTTGTAGTCTTCAGATTTTTGTTCTGCGAATGCTAGTAATCCTAATATAATTAAGTATCGGTCAAAGTTTTCCAAGTCTTCTTTCTTTTGAGGTTTATTAAGTTCTTTAAAAAGTAAGCTATTCATAATTTCTTGATGTTCTTCAGTATAAGATATAGTTGTTGTTTCTGACTTATTAATAATAGTTATATTATAATTTTCTTGTTCAAATTCTTGGTTCATTAGGCTCTGAATAGTTTGTTAGTTTCTTGCAAATATTTATATAGGTCTTGATTATTTAATTTATCTTTTAATATTGTTAAGGTCAGGCAGGTTAAAAGGTTTAGGTTATTGATCCTAAATTGTATCCAAGAGTTTATAGCCTTGAGTTCTTCTTCTTTTAGAGTTATGATTCTAGGTACTGAATTTTTGAATTGTTTGATTTGTTTCTTAATTATTCTTTGGTTTCTTTTTAGTTCTTTAATTATATGTTGGGTATCTACTATTTGGGGCCCATTGTAGTTTATCTGTTATGTTTTGAATATCCTTCAGTTGGTCATTTAGGGTGTCTTTATATAATTATTTTTTATTAATATTTTATTTTAATTCTGGCCTATATTACTTGTATCACGTAAATATTCTATAAACACATCCTATAATCTTTGTTGCCTAAAAATATGTTTAAATAAATGATAAAGTAAATTTTCTTATTTCGATTTTGGCCAGGTATATTATCTTTAAGAATTTGCTATGTGTATTTAATATTATTTGTGTATATTATTTTTAATTCGTTTAATCTTTCATCTATTTCTGTTATGATCATTTCTTTGCTGTGATTTATTTGGTGATGCGCAATGTTTAGGCATTCATATATTTTGTTATAACTTTTGAATATATCTGTATAGATTATCGATTCTGGGTATATATGTTTCTAAATTAGGTTTAATAAAGTTTTAGATGTTCTCTCTGGTACTACTTCTGCAAAGAATTCTTTTGTATTTTAGGATATTCTACCGAATATCCACACTTTGTTTGCTTTGTTGTTTTTACGATTTTTGTAAAATATTGATTTATCACATTCTACAATATTATCTTTGCCACCTATTTTGTTTTCTTATTCTTTAATTTTTTGGGTAATACATATTCTAAATATTTTGGTTCAGTGTATTAATGTTGGTAATAATATTTCATTAAAAGGTTAATTTGTTTTCTTCTAATCTTGATAGGCCAGTAGTATACAATTAATAATATTTGATTACAAGGTAAGTTGGCATTTGAAAAGATTATGTCATTAAACAATGATATCTTTAGTCTAAAATCTCGATTTGGACATGTAAAGACTTTTTCTTTTAGGGTTATTTGTCATAAACAGTAAATATTTAGGCATTTAAGTTTTTGTAGTAGTATTTCTTTAGTCATGAGGTATTCTATACATTTTGATTTGTCTTTAAATATTTCTTCTAATTTGCAGTATAGTGGTATTGGTTTAATATTGGTAATATTGATTTCTTCTATCAGATGTTACTTTATCTGTTTTGATTAATTTTGTAGTTTTTGTCTTTTCTGAATATAGATTATCTTTGCTTTGAGGGTTAGGTTTATCTTCATTAATTTTGTTAGGTGTCTTTGGGTTAAGATTATTGCAAGTATCTTTTATATTAAGCACCTTTATATATTTGATTTCAATATTTAGTTTTACGATTTGTTTTTCATTTTTATCTATTTCCATTTGTCTACTTAGCCAATTTGCTATTGTATTATCTTTTCCTTTGTTTCTTTCTACAGTCTAATTGAAGTCTTGTAATTTGATAAATCATCTTTCTATAGTTTGATTTCTTGGCATTTTTCCTGATGAATCACTTACACCAGTATTATTAGTTCATACAATTATATTTTTGGATCCTATATAATGTTTCCAATAATTTAAATAAAAATATATTGCATGGAGTTCTTTTTGTATACTTCCTCATAGTTGTTTATTGGGTTTAAGCATAAGTGATGCTAATTTAATAATTTCTTCTTCTTCTAATTTTGTATAATTGTCTTTATCTTTTGTTCTATTGATTTGTGCATCATTTGTTTTGTAATGTGCTAAGTTTTGATTAATTTATTTTAAACATGCACCTATTTCTTTATCTGAGGTATTAGTTTCTATTATTAATTAATATTCTTTTTTAGGGTATGTTAAAGCTATCATATTGTAAACTTTATCTTTTAATATTTTCAAATGCTTTTTAGTATTCTTGTATCTATTCAAATTTTGAATTTTTCTTCAATAGATCATATGGGGTATTATCTATTAAAACAGCCCTTTTTTACATATATTTCATTTTGAGATAATTGAGTTTAATCACTTGTTTTGATTTTCGGACTGATCCGGGATTAATCAAATTTCACGATTTTGATTGGTTAAAGGTAACAGGTGACTATCGGGTAATCTCGTGATGTGTTGGCCTTGGGCAGCTTCATGTAATTTTTCTTTTACATTATCTTGATTTTTTATTATGCAAATCGACTTTCATTTATAATTGAAAAATGTCAAGCATGTCAAAATTTATAAGAATCCAATAAAAACTCATTTTTCGAAAAATTGCAAAAAAGGGCTGTTTTAATAGATAACACCCCATATATTGGTTTTGCAATATCTCTGAATTTTAGTATAAATCTCTAAAAATAATTTATTGATCCCATGAATTGTTGTATACCTTTTTTATTTTTTTGTGGTTTAATTTTTTATACTTTTCTTTTTTCTTCTGGTCATATCGCACTTTATGATTTAATGTCATTATTTCTTCCATTATGAATTTGCATTTGTTAGCCTTCAGGGTTAGGCCCACTTTTTTTATTCATTCAAACACTGTTTGAATATGTTGAAATTGCTCTTCTATAGTTTACTTCCTATGGTTAAATTATATATATATATATATACATAATCTAGATCTTCAAATAGTTAAAACATAGGAGGTGTGGTGACTTAGTGTAGTGGTCTAGTCATCACCCTCTACAAGTGGCAGGTCTAGAGTTCAAATTCCACGGATGACGAATTTTGAAAAATAGCCTGTGTTATGGTTTATGGTTGTCGATTATTGGTTGGATCTAGAAATCTGTAATCTTGGTCATACCATCTAGTTATGGGAGCTTTGGCGCAATAAATCTGAGAAACCGGAATAACCGAAAACCCATTTGGCAAG